CTCTACGAACAATGTTCAGGACAAAAATTAATCCGGCCAAATCCATGATTACATTTGGTTCACGGGTTCCGAGTCATAAGCAAAACAAATTAAAATCTACTCTTGGCAAATCGAAACATGGTGGTGCAGGAAAATATTTAGGACTCCCAGAGCAATTTGGGAGAAAAAAGAGAGATATGTTCTCCAACATCGTTAACCGTATGAAACAACGTACCTCTTCCTGGAGTGCAAAACTATTATCACATGCAGGTAAAGAAGTCCTCCTTAAATCGGTTCCATGTCAATGCCTGTTTACCACATGTCTTGTTTCAAACTTCCAAAACAAGTTATTTCGGATCTCACTCGTACACTATCACAATTCTGGTGGGCAAAAGATCATCACTCTAAAGGTGTCCCGTGGGTGGCATGGAAACGACTTCACTATTCTAAAGCTCATGGTGGTTTAGGATTCCAGGATCTTGAAAAGTTCAATGACGCATTGCTTGCCAAACAAGCATGGCGATTACTTAAGGAACCAAACTGCTTATTTTCTAGGTTATACAAAGCTCGATACTATCTTTAATGCCAAAGCTCGACCATATCAATCTTTTGGGTGGGCATCTATCCTGCATGGAATAGTGCTCTTCAAAAACAGTTCAAGAACAATTATTGGTGGTGGACATCACACCAGAGTTTTTCATGATAATTGGCTCCCCACTACCCCTCCTCGACCTGCTTCAACTGATGATATGAATAACAACTTGTTAGTCAAAGAACTAATTATCCGAAACGGAACAACACAGCATTGGGATACACATGCCCTCCTTTCTCTTCTATCACCTGTTGATTATCATCTCGCTGCAACCCTGTTTTTAAGTCAAACAGGCAAGGAAGACCATATTGTTTGGAACTATAACAAAAATGGGCAATATTCTGTCAAGTCGGGCTATCGTTTTTTAATTAAGGATCCTCAATATCTTCGTTCAACCCTATCTATCCCACATGGGGATCCGGTTATCAAACAGAAGATTTGGAAGCTCAAAATCATGCTGAAACTAAAATTCTTCTTATGGAAGATCCTGTCCCAAGCAATACCAACCACATCGCGACTCAGAGTCGAAACATTATTACTGATGACACCTGTATAAGGTGTGGCAGCGCACCTGAAACTATCCATCATCTCCTATTCACATGCCCGGTTTCTGTGGCCACTTGGAGATTATCCAACACTTCGTTTAACTTCCTCACAATATTAACACACGGCATAGAAACAACCATTAACTTGATTTTAGACGCCCAACAAGACCCAAGAATTTCACAAAATGATAAGCTACTACCTTTTTGGTTAACGTGGAGAATATGGAAATCTCGGAACCATCTTCTCTTTAAAAAGCGTCGAATTAAAATGAGTAAGGATATTAATATGGCGCAGGCGGATGTAATGGAATGGCTTAAGTCATCCTCTTCCATATCGTTTCCACCTTCTACACCCCTGTTATACCACCCCCACCGTCAAAACATTTGGACTCCCCCCAATGCAGGAAGCTATAAATGCAATTATGATACAGCATTCGATCAATCTTCACACAGAGGTACAGTTGGCTGGCTTGTCCGCGACTCGGTGGGTGATTGCAAGTATTGGGGATCTGCCCAGTTGGGTTACACGGTATCTCCGCTCGAGGCTGAAGGAAAAGGTCTTTTAGTCACAATCCAAAATGTTTGGAGTATGAGTTTCACTGCAGTTACCTTTGAAGGAGATTGTCAGACTTTAGTACACTTACTACAACATCAACAACAGGATATTCGCATCTCCAATTTACTGACTGACATTCGAGCATGGTTATGTAAAATTCCCTCCACTAATTTGACTTTTGTCCACCGCCACTGCAACGAAGACGCTCATCTCCTAGCTAAACATGGGATTTCTGGCTTTCTATTTATTTCTGGATGTAATTCTACGCCAAATCGGCTGACTTGTATTGTAGTTACTGATTATAACAATCCTGGATGAATAAAATAACTATTCCGATAAAAACAAAATCTAACTTTTATTTTCTTACTATTGTGAGTTTTTGTTGTCGTAAACTTATTTATTTATCATAACATATTATTAGGATACAAAGTGTTAAAAGTCCTGAAAGTTCAGATATTGAATTGAGTAAAAGATTCCATTTGGGGGTCCAAGTTTTAGCTAAATTATGAGCAGTTTAATTACAAGATTGTTTTACATGCATTACATCAGAAAAATAAAATTTATTCAACCAAAATCTAATGATATTTTTATTATAAAAAAACTATATGTGTTTTGTTTACTAATATATATTATGTTATTTATTTTTTTGTTAACAATTCGAATAAATGCATTTACACTTTAAAAAATTGTACCGTTTCAAAATTTATGGTTGCGTTTTTTTATTATAAATGGTTGCATCTTTTTATTATAAATGGTTGCGTTTTTTCATCACAACTGTTATTTGTGTTTTTTCAAAACTATTTATATTGCTCAAAATCACAGAATAAAAATCATTTGAGTCTAACTTTTACTTTTTTTACTATGGTGGGTTTTTTTTGTCGCAAACAATCCAAATAAATGCCACTTATACTTAATAGTTGTGTCGTTTCAAAATTTGTGGTTGTATCTTTTCATAATAAATGATTGCATCTTTTCATTATAAATAGTTGCGTTTTTTTTATCACAACTGTAATTTGTGTTTTTTTAAATTATTTATTTCTCAAAATTACAGAAAAAAATTATTTGGATCTAACTTTTACTTTCTTATTATACTGAGTTTTTTTGTCGTAAATTTATTTATTTATCATAACATATTATCAGGATACAAAGTGTTTAAAATTCATAGAGGTTCATATATTGAATTTGAGTAAAAAAATTCCATTTGAGAGTCCAATTTTAGCTAAAATATGATAAGTTTTATTACAAGAATGTTTTACATGCATTACATCAGAAAAATAAAATTTATTCAACCAAAATCTAATGATATTTTTATTATCAAGAAATTATGTGTTTTCTTTACTAATATATATTATGTTATTTAATTTTTTTTGTTAACAATCCGAATAAATCTCATTTACACTTTAAAAAGTTGTGTCGTTTCAAAATTTGTGGTTGCATCTTTTCATTATAAATGGTTGCATCTTTTCATTATAAATGGTTGTATTTTTTGGTCACAACTCTTATTTGTATTTTTTTAAAACTATTTATATTGCTCAAAACCACAAAAAATCATTTGGGTCTAACTTTTACTTTCTTACTATGGTGGATTTTTTTTGTCGTAAACATATTTATTTATCATAACATGTTATCATGATAAAAAAATGTTTAAAAGTCCTGGAGGTTCAGATATTGAATCATAGTAAAAGATTCTATTTGGGGGTTTACTTTTGGCTAAAATATAAGCAGTTTCATTACAAAATTATTTTATATGCATTACATCAGAAAAATAAAATTTGTTCAAACAAAATCTAGTGATATTTTTATTATAAAATATTATATATTTTTGTTTACTAATATATATTATGTTATTTTTTTATGAAAAGCATCTATATATTTATAGTTAATTGTGTTATTTTCAAATTTTAATATTTTTATTAGTTGTTTATAAATTTGATGTACCTGATATTTGAATTCTTTTTTCTAATTTCAGAGAAATATATTTATGTAATGTAACAAATTCACATATATTTTATATATGCATTTTAAGGTATCAAAGTTTTTATATTTTAACTATTATATTTGTAATATACTTTTTAATATTGCGAATCTTTTTTAGAAACTATAGTTTTAGAAAATGTATTATAAAATCTCGTTACATTGTTTTTTATTACATATATTTTCTGTAGTATTTTTTTAAAAAATATCAATTTTTTATTATAAATTTTTGTTTCTAACTTTTCAATAATAAATGTATAGTTTTATAAATTTTTTTTGAAAGATTTCCTGTATATTTATTTTTTACTTTACACTTTTGCGCGAATACAAATTTTTAATAATTATACAACTAGAAGATCTCATATTTATATTATATATTTATTTGTATATTTTCATATATAACTTTTTTAACACTCTTAAAAAGTTGTGTATCTTGTTTTTTCAGTTTTTTTTTAATTTTTCTATTAATAATTAGTAATAACAATCCTAGAAAATTTTGTAAAAATTTACATATTTTTATCATAATTAATTTGTACATTTCCATTTAAAACTTATTGTTAATAATTAAAAAAACATGAAAATATCTTTTTCTTTTAATAATTATAAGTTGTTTTGAATGTTTACATTTTTTATTATATATATTTTACTTATAATTATTTTAAATAAATTTTTTTAAAATTTTTAATAAACTGAAAATTAACCCCGCAATGCGGAAATCTTATTCCTAGTTTCTTTAATTTTTTAATAAAAAAATAGCCTATTTTTATATCAAATTATACTTTTAGTCATTTTCTTAACCGAGCAGTTGGGGATGCTGACTGCTGTTACTCGGAAGATGCACAAGTCGGCGTCGTTTCATTCGAATTATCTGGTTTGTCATTCATACCTATTAATTACGCGGTTACTTGCTGAATTAAGCCGGTTCTACGAACCCTCCGGTTATTTAAATTAAGCCGGTACTGCCAGATAAAAATCTATTTACAAATCAAATCAAATCAAATCTACGTAAAATTCCCTGGCTGTCATTAATGAAGAGAGGTGCCGAAATCAAATCTTAGGGAATTTCTCAAGTAAATCTTTCCTTTTTCTAACAGTCCTCAACGGATCAATTATGGTAAAATTAAGGAAATTAAAACTAAGCAAAAAAATGGAAATCGAACCTTGAAACACACACAAACGCATTTTTTTGACCGTTGGCGTCTAAAAAAAATAGACAAATCTATAAGTAGACCTAGGTCTGCCTAGGTCACACAGTCTCTCTCTCAAATTTCATTATTCTTCTTCTTTGTGCGCGAGAACGAGAAAATCGAAAACCCAGAGCGTGTTTGGGAAATCAACAACAACAAAATCAACAATGCGATCACCGCCTTCTTCCTCGTGTTCCAATTCGTCTTCTTCTTGTTGTTCTAGTTCCCTCGCTGCAACGAGTTTGGCCAACAGGCTCCGGACCGTGTTCAAGAAAGCTTCCGAGCTTACGACTCTCTGCGATATCGAAGCCTGCGTCATCCATTACGGACCAGACGGAGAATTACAGACATGGCCTAAGGATCGACAGAAAGTGAGAGACTTGGCTCTTCGGTATAGTCGTCTCGACGACGCCAAGAGGCGCAAGAAAAGCGTCAATCTTTATGGGTTCCTCAACAAGAACAAGAACAAGACCAAGGCGACGAATCTGACGAAGAAGCCGAGGACGACGAACTCGAATCAACTAAAGTATCCACTCTCTGATCACCACTCTCCCGACCAAATCTCCCAACTGATGGAGTCCTTGCTACGAAAGCGCTCCATCTTGCAAGAAAGGCGTCGTTTTTTCTCGAGGCACGGAAACAGACAAAGGCAAAGTTGGAAGATCATAAGGGTTTAGCACCATCCTCTCTCAACCATCAACAGACCCAATCCTTGAACCCTTCCTCTCTGAACCTTCATCAGACCCAATCCTTGAACCCTAGCAAGTTCTCGCTAGTTATGTATAACCACGAAGATGCTACTCTCTCTCAAATCCCACTCTCTGCATCAAATTTCACCAATTTCACAGATGATTACTTGATGCATCAAGAGGTTAATGGTTGTGGTCAGAATATATCTATGGGTTACATCAACAGCAACAACTTTCAACTTCCTTGCGACTCAAACACACAAGAATCTGTGAATAACTACGGCTTGAATCAGTTGACGCCTCAAGAGCTTTGTGGTTATGATCAGAACATCTGTATTGGTGATACTACCAACAGCAACAACTTTCAAGGTCCTTGCGTCTCAAACACACAAGCGGTACCAGTACAGGAGTCTGTGAATAACTACGGGATGAATGAGTTGATGCCTCAAGAGCTTTATGGTTATGATCAGAGCATGTGCATGAGTGATACTACCAACAGCCTCAACTTTCAACATCCTTGCTTCTCAAACACGCAAGAGTTGCATGAATCTGTTACTGACTTCGGGTTGAATCACTTGACGTAGCAAGAGCCGTATGGATTTGATCAGAGCATGTGTACGAGTGATACTATCAACAGCAACGTTCTCGATCCTTGTCTCTCAAACACAGTTTCAGATAACCTCTGTTCTGACTTTCAGGATCCTTATGGTATTATGTTCGGCAACAGTAGCTTCTCTCAAGACCTCTCAGATATGTTTTCAAGCTATGATCTTCAGTTTGATGAGAGCAGTCTACTTCAGACATCTACTCTACCATCTCTCCACACCATCCCTATCAGCTAGATTTCTCTGAGTACTAACAAGAGTTAGAAGCAATTACCTGATGAAGTAGCGGACCACAGTTATTATAGCTGTTTATGCGTCTGGAGTCCTGCTATGTTTTGTATTTTGACTATATGAATTTAACTGCAAAACAGATGCATTTGTAAAGATTTTGTTTCCAGTTTTCAATATATTAACTTTTGTTTCCGAACATTATTCATAGATGTATGGACAGCCATATCCCATATATGTATATATTTCTATAACGAAACCTCATAAAACTTCAATGAAACAAATTATCTAAAAACATTGAAAACAGTTTCAGATTCTTTTATGTGTTCACTGACAGCTCTCAATACACTGACTTAAGCAAGCTATTTGAAATTCATCTTACGAAATGATCTAGAGGTTATTGAAGGCATATAAGATTTGCCAATACTACAAATTGGTGACGGCCACAAACAAAATCCTCCTAAAAGAATTGAATACAAAGGGAAAAGAAGACCAACCAAATGACTTCAGCAACTCTGAAGTTTGTTTACGGTAATAAGTTTCCTCGTCTCCAAGGCACTTTAACAAGCAGTCCGCAATTTCTTTCCTGAAATAAAGTGCAGAAAATGAGTTTAGACTTCTGAGGGCATGAGAATGCAAATTATAAGTCAAGGAACTAAAGAAGATGCAGAAAAGATAGAAAGGGAAAACCAAATGAAACAGAAACTATGGATCAAGCTTGGAGGTCAGTAAAGCTAATGAAAGCAGAATAAGGACGAGAGAGAGAGAGAGCGAACCAGAAAGCTCATGGATTGAAGAAGTCATGACTCATGAGCTTAATGTCCGAGAGCACAACTCTGAAAGTTCTAAAGAACAAAAAACACAGCAGCAGAACAGTCAGTACATGGTTCCTGGAAAGCTACTAAATTTAAAAATTCTGAATTATCAAAATCCCAAAATCATTAACCTCAGAACTTTCCAGAACCAATTCAGAATACAATCACAAATTCATAACTAAAACCCATAAGAAGAAAAAATGGAAATTAATAAAAGATGCTAAACCATAAACAGTATACTAAATTGTAAACAGCAAAAACAAATTTACAGGAAACCAGTCAAAAGCTATCATTTCAAAGACATGTTGCCAATTTTACCTCTGCAATTGTCTATGCCTCTTCTTCAAAGTCTCCGAGGAGAAATAATAAAATCTGTTGACATAAGGATTACTTCCATAGAATTCCAGCAACAAGGCGTTTCTGGTGAATGTTTCTTTAACTCTGACTGGTAACTAGAAAGCTACATTTATGATTTAGGCATTTAGCATCAACAGGAAAGCAAGAATATACATACTTGGAACAAAGATGTATCACAATGTCTGCCAGGAGGACACTAACAGCTTTGGCCGCGCCATTCCTCTCATGGTATGTCAGAAGGGATATCAGAAGGTATATTTAAAGCAGAGACAGCTTCTCTGATACCATCGTTGCTTCAAAGGCAAAAGAAGATGTAAGTACTGCAGCAATGCAGAACCAAACTTATGAGTTTCATAATGAGTAGGAGTCAGAAAAGCCTATACAACTGCAAGAGATATATTCCTGTAAAAAATGGGTAAAGATACCTTATGTACAAGACAAGGCACAAGCTCCGTTCCACACTCTCAAATTTCTGATGGTTTGCAGGAAGACGAGAGATATAAGACGCATAGAGACCAATCGCCAAAGCAGCACAATCAAACAACATGTGGCAAGCGTCTGAGATCAATCCAAGACTATTGCTCATGAAACCAGCCACAAAAACTCTACAACCATATACGCCGTATTGATCAGAAGAAATCTTCCTTGACTTCTTCTCGCTCAAAATGTGACGTGTAGGCTTCATAAAAATGGTGGTAAACGACTCGAAACGTAACCAGAAACTCCCTCTCAGAGTCTTTCTTCGAGCTCGAAAACTTATCTTCGTTGTAATTCTCCGTCAACAGCACTCCGAATACAACAGTGTTAGCTAACGGCCAACCCAAATTCCCAATAGAGACACCAACTTCATCACTTTCAGAGAATAGAAATGGAAAGCAATCGAACTTGTTTCTGATTTAAGCAACCCAAAAACCCAGATAGGAATGGAAGCAACATAGGCCAAATTCTCAAGCAATTTTCGACAGATGATGAAGAGAAAGGGAAACAATCGACACGATCCCAGCTGATTGATAACATCAACAACCCAGCGAACAAGATGCGAAACCATAGATGATCCAATTCCGCCATTATCGCCGGAAAATCGATTCCGAGACTCGGATAGAACTCTAGCAGAGACTGTACCGGAGAGCTCGGCTAAGATTGATCATAGCTGCTGCGCCGCAGTAATGGAGAGCCTGAAAACGCCTAGAAAATCTCTCCAATGTTAAAATCCATTGGCTTTATGAGAATGAGAATGATATTCCCAAAATACTGTATGGTGAAAACCCATAAGGCTAAAAGATCCAAGTAAGAGGTTTGGGCCCAATTTAAGGTTTTGAAATTAAAGAACAAAAATCTGACTCGACATAATCGTATCAAGTCACACACTTGGGTTTTGTTTTTCCTGATCCTAGAGGCCTCAGTGAATCTTCGACACTGGGATCAACAAGCATCATTGGATATTTTCCTCACTGTTTGTATATGCGTGCATAATAATAGAGAAGATGACAAAAAGGATTTACGAGTTCAAATCGCAAACTGCAAAATTGATGGTTGCTAACATTAATATCTTCTGGAGCTTAAGCTTGACGAACAGTAACCTTATCCCTAAACCTCTGAAGTCTTGTATCAAGTCGTCGGGTATACAAATTGCTTTTCTTCTCTGAAAATAGTAAAATTTCTACTTCTCTCTGCGTTTCGCATGGCTTCTTCGTCTTCTCCATCTCCTCCATTGGTCAACTGTGGACACCAGGTTTTCCTCAGCTTCAGAGGGGAAGATGTCCGCATCAAATTCCGTTCCCACTTTCTCAAGGAGCTCGACCGCAAATTGATCACCTTCAAAGACGATGAGATGGGAAGAGGCCGATCTATTGGCCCCGAGCTTTTCAAAGCCGTACGAGGATCGAGGATCTCGATTGTGGTGTTTTCTCACAACTTTGCAAGTTCGAGCTGGTGCTTGGATGAATTGGTGGAAATCATGAAGTGCAGAGAAGAACGAGGCCAAATCGTCATACCTATCTTCTACGAAGTGGATCCTTCTCATGTCAGGAATCAGATCCACGGCTTCGGAGAGATGTTCGAAAAGATTTGTGAAGGCAGATCAGAGGAAAAGAGACTTCAGTGGCGGCGAGCGTTGACGGACGCAGCAAACATAGCCGGCGAGGATTCTCGGAAATGGTACTTTCTTAATTTCGATTCTCCTGCTTTCTTGTCAAAATTAGGTTTTCCTTAGTATCTACTTCATGCTTGTGTTATTGTGTTGTATCATCATCTTTGTTAGGTCCGACGAAGCAAAGATGATTGAGAAAATCGTCAACGATATTTCAAATCAACTGAACTCTACAGCATCAAATGATTTTGCTAACTTTGTTGGAATTGAAGATCACATTAGAAAAATGAATCTGTTACTGGAATTGGAATCTGAAGAAGTGATAATGGTAGGCATTTGGGGTCCATCTGGAATTGGTAAGACTACCATTGGACGAGCTCTTTTTAGTCAATTCTCATGTCAGTTTCCAAAGAAGCATTTTCATTGACAAGACTAAGGAAAAAACTATACAAAGGCCAACTCAGACGACTACAACACCAAGTTGCACTTGCAAACACAGTTTCTTACTGAGATTTTGGACCAGAAGGACATAAAGATTTATGGTTTAAGTGCAGTGAAAGAAAGGCTCGGGCATAAGAGAGTTCTTGTTGTTTTTGATGATGTGGTTGATCAAATCCTTTTAAATGCCTTGATGGGGGAAACTACGTGGTTTGGTCCTCGTAGCAGAATTGTTGTTATTTCAAAGGATAGGGAGCTTCTAAAGAGCTGGGGAATTGAATCTGATCGTATCTATGAGGTGGCTTTTCCCGTCTGAAGAGCTAGCTTTGAAGATGTTCTGCCGATGTGCGTTCGGGGAAGACTCTCCACCTGATGGTTTTAAGGATCGTGCTATTGAAGCTACGAAGCACACCGAGAATCTCCCACTGTGTCTCAACGTTTTGGGTTCATTACTCGCAAAGACGAAGAAGGAGGAGTGGGAAAATATGGTGCCTAGACACAGGAATAGTATGGCTGGACAGATTAATAAAACATTAAGAGACTGCTATGATAGGTTGAACGAAGATCATAAAGCAATATTTCTTCACATCGCTTGTTTATTTCAATCATAAACCACGTGACTACGTGATACGATTGCTTGAAGGTAGTAAGTTGGATGTTGATGTTGGACTTGTCACTCTGGCTGAACGGTGTCTCATTCAGATATCAGAGGATAAGATCATTAGGATGCACGATTTCCTGCCAAAAAAATGGGTACAGAAATCATCCGTCAACCATGTATTGAGATCCCTGGAGAACGTCAATTCTTAATGGATTCTAAAGAGATTTGTGATGTACTTTTTGATGGAACTGTAAGTTTCTAATTATTCATGGTTTCCCTCACTCAATACCTTTTTGAGCATCTATTTTGGTTACTAATATATTTGGTCTTTCTAATACTTTTTTTTTTCAGGGAACTAAAACGTGTTTTGGGCATATCTTTGAACTTATCTGAAATCGAGGGTACATTATATATTAGTGAGGAAGCATTCAGCGGGATGAAAAACCTTCGGTTTCTAAGAATATACGGGGTCTTACCGGAGTATAAAAAGCTCATTCTGCATTTACAGGGAGGCAAAGGCCTTATGTGGCACCTATTTAGGTTAATGGAAAGGTGGGGATTCTTAATGAGAAGCATGCATTTGCAGGATAAAGACCATATGTGGCGCCAACTTAGATTACTGGAATGGTGGAGCTGCCCAATAAGATGCATGCCTTCTAACTTTCTTCCAGAAAATCTCGTTGAACTTAGAATGCCGGATAGTCACCTTGAGAAGTTGTGGGAAGGAGCTCAGGTAACTTTTTCAGGTTTGAATGCTTTAAAATATTGTAATTGATTGTTCTTGTTTTCTCACTATTGGTCTCACACAAGGCTTAATATTAATAGATAAACCCATAGAGCGATAAGGGCCAAATAGAAATCTGTATAAGCCAGAAGATCATGTTTACTTGCAAATTTCCTCTACGACTTATTTGAAAATTTTTAAGTTTCCCTTACCTTTTTTTGTGTGTTATGATCAGTTGCTTAATAGCCTGAAGAAGATGGATCTGAGGAGATCTAAAAAGCTGAAAGAAATCCCAAATCTTTCAGAGGCTACAAATCTCGAGGAATTGTATCTTGTAGATTGCTGGAGTTTGGTGATGATTCCTACCTCTATTCGGAATCTCAACAAACTGAGGAAACTAGACATGAAAAGATGCAAAAATCTACAGAGTATTCCAACAAACATCGACCTGGAGTCTCTCCATTCCCTCAATTTCAGTGGATGCTCGCAGTTGAGAACTTTTCCTGAGATTTCAAGGAATATTTTGTATCTCTTTCTAGATGAAACCGAGATTGAAGAAGTTCCTGGGATGATAGAAGAGATCCCTGGGCTCAGTTACATGTTGATGAATGGTTGCAGCAACTTAAAATATATATCTCCAAGCATTTCGAAACTGAAACATCTTGAGGTGATATTTTTTTCAAACTCTGATTCTTTAACTGAAGAGAGGTTGTATGACTCTCCAAGTGCAGTAGCAACGACAACAGACAACATTCACACTCAATTACAAGGTGCTTCTTCCTATCGCAAATGGAAGTACCACGTCTTCGTTAGCTTCCACGGAGTAGATGTTCGCAGAGGTTTAATCGGCCACATGCTCAAAACATTTCGTAGCCAAGGAATCCTTCCATTTGACGACCAAAATATTCAGAGAGGCGCGAACATATCCCATGAAATTGATCATGGTATAAGAGAATCAAGAATAGCTGTAGTCGTCCTTTCAAAGAATTACGCGTCCACAAGATGGTGCTTCGATGAGTTGGTACAGATCATAAAGTGCAGCGAAGAGATTGGTCAAAAAGTGATACCCATTTTTTATGGTGTGGATCCTTCTCATATCACGAAGCGAATCCAAGACATTAGAAACACCTTCGCGGATAGGTCGGACGAGCAACAACAACAAAATTGGATACGATTTTTAACTGTAGTAAATCAACTTCCGGTATATAATTCCCAAGACTGGTAAGTTATTTGAATTATTTATTACTTGCTTTGGCTTTAAGTTCTAAGGTATTATCTTCAAGGATGTTCATTTCTTCATAATATTTACTCCATTTTTATTGTGCCATCGTCTTTCTTCCTATCAGGGTTTCCGAGGCAGATATGATTCAAAAACTGGCTGTTGATATTTCTTTTACACTAAATATTACACCGAAAGAGTTTCCTGATGTGGTTGGAATAGAAACATTAAAACTGCACTACGATGGTCTAAATGGGAAGGAGAAAGCGTTGTTTCGTCATATTGCTTGCTTTCTGAATAATGAGACGTATGAGAATGTGATACGATTACTGGAAGACAGTGAGTTGGATGTTGGAGTTAGTCTTAAGATTCTATTTGACAAGTCTCTGATACAAATATCAGAAGAAAGACTCATAAGTTTGCACCATGTGCTGCAAAATTTTGGCAGAGACCTAGCTCTCGGTCCATTCATTAACCACCCTGCAAATCGTCAGTTCTTGATGGATACTAGCGAGAGTTGCGACGTACTTATTGATCTATCTGTAAGTTTTTGTTTACAGCATCATGATATATATGTTTTTTAAGCTACTAATGATTTGTTCCTCTTAACATATCCTTTCAGGGTATTAGAAATGTGTTCGGCATCTCGTTTAAAGTACAAATGGAAGAGAGGTTGAGAAGGGATGAAAGATTCAAAGGAATTAAAAAGCTGAGGTTTATGAGAGTGTACAAGAAGAGTTTCTACGGTAAAGAAGTCAGATTCCATTTAGTCAAAGGGCTCCACTCTTTGTGGGACCGCCTGAATAATACTTGATGGGTAAGAATACTCACTCAGTAAGGTGCTCTTATCGGCTTATGTCTTACGCCATTTTGGCCGTGATGCAAATTTTCTGTGATTTGTTATTTATGTGTTAAAACTTTACTTGTCCAGTTTGATTTTAAATATTTCTGCTACTACTGATCGATTCTTTTCATGTTGAATCACAGACGTTTTGCCGTTTTGCCAAGGAAAGGCAACGCTTATTTCAACTAGACTGAGGCAACGAACCATACAGTCATACAGATACTGAGATACCA